GTCCTTTGGTGAGACTCGCCCCAACCTTAGGAATGTGGAATATTCAATTTTGGCTCAGGGCTCTCAAGAGGAGATGAACACCAACTCAGTGCTCACTTGAGCAGGACATCTTTAAGCAATATATATTGTGATATTAATGCCTGCACTTTGACCAATTATTTATTTGCTTTTTCTTGTGCAAATTAATTGTTAAAGCCCATGTGTGTGCTATAGAAGAATTGTAGAACTCCAGAATCCATCAGAAATGAGAAATGGTGAACCCAGGCATTGCAATGACTCAACGTGAAACAATTCACTTCTGAATTCTCAGTCGCAACTAAATTCAAAATCGATTCTGTTTTTTTTTTACATTTACATGCGGCATGTCAACATCGATTTCCAAAAAACACGCGATTTCATGCGCGTACCGTGGAGCGTATCAGGATCGATATGAACCGAAGCATCGCTACACCTGTATTAATCACCGTCTCATGACTGACCCCAGAGGTATTACTACTACAGGAGTGTTTTTTTTGTAAGCTCGCTCTTCAGCTTTACAGTTCTCCCCTCAAACTCATTTGTTTTTTTTTATCTCTCTCTCCAGGCACTGTGGTCAGCTACCACATGCAACAACAATAACAATGAATGGCTCAAACATCCCGTTGTAGAACCATCCTGAAATTGAGTCTTGAGACCAAGTCAAGCTTTTCTTCGTAAACAAACATATATAGAGAGTATATTGATTACGTCAACCCCTTCTTAGCAGTGGTGTGAACCTAAAGATACTGTATGCTGCAACGTGTGCCACCGTTGGGCGATTAACACAAATAACTACCATGGGCAGACTCCAAATCGTCGTGCCAATTCCATGTACAATGACACCAGGTGCATTGAAGCCAAGATGCTTGAAAACAAATTACGTTGACGTTTTAGTTTTTCAAATCATGCAATAAAACGCTGTCATTCTGTCAACTTCAATTGTTGCATGTCATCACGAACAGTCTGCCTCTAACCGTCACATGTTTACAGGTTACCATTCTTATACATATGTATTGCTAGATGTTAAAACGCAAAAGCGCAGATTACGAAAGTTTGCTTCCTTTGTGTAGACATAAAGGATGCTCAAACCACATACGGTAAATGGTTGACAAACGAAATGAATATATGGAGGTCCACGCGTGAACATCTGGAATTCACCGCTGACAACTCAACGTTTGGGTCCAACCCCAAAATGGCATCTCAGAATCGGAATCTTTATTGATACTGGACGAATCCGATGAACCATAAAGCTCTTTTTTCACAGATGCTCAATAGGAAAAGATTCGTCAACGAAGTTGCTCCATCGACTAGAGCTTGTCGTCAACTACTGCGCCATACTTTGTATGGTCGATTGCTGGACCCCTTTAAAAATAAAAAAACGGTGGCCCACCCGCACAAGGCACAGGGTGACGTAACTGATGACGTCACCAAGCACCGCCACTTACCTCCCGTCCAGCGGCACACGCTGGAACAGAGGTCAGCTTTAACCCCTTCCACCACCCCCCCTCCCCAAACTATTTTCGCGTTATCTGATGAATTAAGTAAAATCGAACGGATAATCGGAAGAGTAATCGAATAATTATAAACACAGTTGTAATCTTACTCCAAGCGGGAGGCTGCACTCTCCTTCGCTGTGATTTGTTGTGTTTTGTCGTATTAAGTGGGCTGCCAGCGCTGCTATACTTCTGGTTTTAATCGATGGTGTGATTGGGAACCTGAGATTCTAATCCAGGATCTTGGCAATGCTGATCCGGCCTGACAGGGTCGTTATGAGTTCACTCAGCCACCTGGTCACCTTGACAAATAAAAAAATATATATGTATAACTCCACCTCGCATATGCTTTGTAACAAATTGAATTCATGAATAATGAGTGAGAAATGCCATGTTGATTACGGGCGCTCCAAATTCCATCACGTGTTTAAAAAAAAAACACGTGAAAGCGAACATACGAGCCGATAAAACGGAAAACATTTACGATTTCAATTAAACGAGTTGACGTTTTGTTGGTTTGTTGTTTTAAAAGGTCCTTTATGTGTAAAACGTTCGTCAGTATGTTATTTGGCTTAAGATTTGCGCGATGCCATTCAATTAAATATATCATAAGAATTATGTACATAGCAACAAAACATTTACAAATCAGTCGCTTGTCCCCAAGCTATACATTTTGGGATAACGCACTTAAACATAATACTGTTGCAGAGACGTAACACGTATAACATGACAACGGATTAAAAACACCTTGTAATGGCATTGTGCAGAAAATTAGTGGTTGTGGCATGTTCAGAAATGACCGGTTAAAGTTGACATTTCAATGGAGAATATAAAATGCAAATGTACTACAAATTTCAAATTGATAGCATTTAATCATTTCAGTTGCGTTTATATATATAAAGGTGAATGTGAGTTACAGAATTCATCTCTGTTTCAAGCCCTTTACAACGTCCTGCTGTCACATGAACCGCCATAGTTGTTGTCTTTCTGGTTCGTGTAAAATCCCGTTTCTTTTTGACGAATAAATAAGAGAGTCACGACTCTGGTGATACAGATCTCGACGTGACCAAGTAACTAGTGGCGTAGTCGCAGGTTGGCATGGGCCCTGGCCCAAGGAATGAAATGGGGCCCCTTCTCCCTGCTCAGTCCCCCCCCCCCCCTATCCCCGCCCCTCTCTTCGTAGGCCAACCGCATGGGCCCCCGCCATGCTGTGGGCCGCCGGGTGCAGCTGCACCGCCTGCGCACTCGATTGCTACGCCACTGCACGTGACGTGGAGGACGTTGAGCCGATGGGCTGTGCCGGGATGAGAGTCCTGAATCTCTGATTCCAGCATTGGGCCACAGTGATTACGTTCCATGAGACTCTTGAGCACCGAGGTGATGGCGTCGATGGCTGTAGGTGGGACAGCATCATAACCAGCTTGATTCCGAGAGGGTCGCTTATGTTCCTGATGGGCTAGCTGTACAATGGGAGTTTTGGGCAACAGCTCCCCTTCCGTTATGCATAGTTGTCTCTGAGCATTGCCATTTGCATATCATGCATACAAATAATTGTACAAAAATATTTCAAAAACGAACTGGCCAAACAACAACAAGCAGAACACTCCTTGAAACACGGCCGTTTAGGACTCGTTGAGGCTTGCGCGGGTAAAGATTACAGTTGTCCGTCATTAACATCACCCCTGCACCACACTCGATGCTGCAGATAAGAGGCTCTCCGTCTTGAACAACCTCTGTCCCGCTCTTCGAGAACTCTGGGACACACTGGGCTTGTACCCACAATTGTCCCCGTAACAATCGAGTCATGGCATGTCAAGTCACCCCTGCACATTCGATGCTGCAGATGAAGGACGACGGGCTGTCCCCACTCTTTGAGAACTTCGAAATATGTTGGGTTTGTACCCACAACTCTGCTCTATCACAGTCGATGCACAGCAGTGGATAGAAGCAACTGTGGACGAAGGTGCTTCGTCGAAATTTCAGACAACTTGATAGACGATTGATCCTTCAAGTTCGCTATCCCCGACATATCCAAAATAAACATCTCTTGAGTGGACGACTTGCAATCGAGATTTCCTTTCAAGCAATGCTAAAGTCAAATGAAATATTGTAACAATACTTACATTTACATCGCGCTCAGAAGGTAATGAAATGTCTCGGAGCGCACTTTTGTGTTATCTTAACCTAAGGGGACCCACTAATGTCAGCTGTCTCTGTGCGGCACAAGGCGACAACACAGCACTGCCCTGTGAGTGGGTGAATATTTGTCAATTGGTTGTTGCAAGTGATGAAATTTTTAGTAATGTTTCAGCTTTGGGCTCATGACACACGGCCCACTCTTCCAAATAAAGTGACGGGAACTTAAACGTCCTCTGCGGTGCGGACGGCTCCTATTTGTGTTTAACACACCCGCAGTATTAACCGAAATCCTCTGCAACAAGCGGTAAACCCCACTACTGCCTGGCCATGTCACCGCCCCAAATTAAGTTAATAATAATTAAGTTAACAATAATACTTCATATTATACTGCGTCATTAATGCGAATAGCATCCCGCAACGCTAAAGTTCTTACGTGAATGAGTGGTTTTAACTTATTGATCTGGCTGTCGCCTGATGAAGTTGGTTGTAATTACCGGCGAAACGTCGTACTCGAATAGTAAATGTAGTGGGTTTACTCTCCAACACACCGGTGTGCCCAACTAGCAACGACTTGGCACGTTTTGTTTACCGTGACAAACCTTACCAATTGGCCGATTCGGGTGGTGGCGGGTTTAACGACACATTTATATTTACGCGATCTAACCCCAAAAACAAACACCTCCAATATGAACTTATTGAGAGTTGACCCAGATTCTGATTTTTTTAAAAATATATATATATCTTTCTCCTCTTACCCACACGTGGTTTAGTCGAGAACACCGCCCTTATGCTGTGAAGCTGCCCACTCTGACACGTAACCACGGGAGCCGTCCGATCACCGTCCGAGGTCGACTAAAGTCTGAAATCTCCCCCCGACTGCAGCGGCGGTGATTTGTGGACCATTCGACGTGAAGCGTCGCGGAGACGCACAACTTCGCTGCGTTGTTTCCGACTCTGTCCACCGCTTGCCCCGAGGGGGCGCCCTCCCCATTTGTGCCGATATCGATAACAAACGTGGGGTGTTGATTCCGTCACATCAAGAAAGCGTCGACGACGCCGATCTTAACATTTTGTCTTTAGTGCGTATAAATAAATTAAACAATCACACTCTCGTGGCTAGCCTTGTCTGGGTGCCACGGTGGCGAGATGTCGACTACCTCGCCTGGTACGCAGGAGGGCGTCCGTTCGATCCCGATCCCGACCCTGACACCTGCTGCTCATATTTGGAGTTTGCGTGTTTTTCCCCATGGTCGCGTGGATTTTTTTCGGGGTTCTCGGGTTTTCCCCTCCACGTTTACACACGCGAGTTTAGAGTGTTTGGCTGCTATACATTTCCACATGATAGTCCACTTCGTTGAGCTATCATTTGTGATAACCAGGTAGCTTCTGAAAAAGAGCTACGTAGCTCAGTGGGCCTTACCTGGTAAAATAAAAAAGAGTGTTTTTGTTGTTGGTAAGAACGCATTAAGAAGGATCGGCACAGAACTCGAGAGGAGTGATGTGGCCAAAGGACATGGCACTGCCGGCTCTCCAGCCCCTAAATTATTTTTTAAACGTGTTGACCCAACGAAACTACCACGCCTGGCTCGGTAAGCAGTCGAAAAAGCGTCACCAGCATCACACCACTGACCACCGCGTCGCTATAGCCCCATGCGTGTGAACAAAACAAGACAAAGGTTCCCCATGGAGCCTACCGTGGCTGTTCGGGGCAAGTGCTCTTAACCAGCACCTACGAATGCTGGAAGGGGACGCGTGTTGCCAGCGCCACGACAGGCCACCTTTGTACCCCTCTGCCACGATGCTTCACACCACACCAGGTACTCACTTAGGGCTGAGTCGACCTGGTGGAAGCCCAAAACCGGTTCAGATATCACTCGCCACCTGATGTAAGCCGTGGCCGAATATCGAACTTTGTTGGCAGGGTTCGTCGCGCAGTGCGCCGACACACTCCGACCCTCCGGCTCCATCCCAACGCGTGTGGACAGACGCACTGCGGACACACGGTCCGCTGCGCAGTGCAAGTTTGCCGTGAAACAGCAACAACAACAACACCCAAACACAAATCTCGGAGAGGCAGAGAGCCACCCACTGAGAGCGTCACTCGATGTAGTTGGGTCCGAGGAAGGCCATGTCGTCCATGTACTCGGACTTGCTGACGGACGAGACGCTGTTACTCCTCTTGATCTGGTTGCCGGCCTCGCAGCTGCCGCCGCTGTCCTCCTGCACAGACAGCGTCTGCTCTTCGGCCTCCGAGCCGCGGTGGTAGAAGTAGTTGAAGTTGGACACGATGACGGGCACGGGCAGAGCGATGGTGAGCACGCCCGCGATGGCGCACAGCGAGCCCACGATCTTGCCGCCCAGCGTCACGGGGAACATGTCTCCGTATCCCACCGTGGTCATGGTGACGAGCGACCACCAGAAGGCCTCGGGGATGCTGTGGAAGTGCGTGTTGGGGTCGTCCACCTCGGCGAAGTAAATCGCGCTCGAGAAGAGGATGACGCCGATGAAGAGGAAGAAGATGAGGAGGCCCAGCTCGCGCATCGACGCGCGCAGCGTCTGGCCCAGGATCTGCAGCCCCTTGGAGTGGCGCGACAGCTTGAAGATCCTGAAGACGCGCACCAGCCGGATGACCCTGAGGATGGCGAGCGACATCGTCTGCTGCCCGTTGTTGGCGCCCGTGTCTTGCGCCGCGAGCTCCGTGCCCAGCGTGATGAAGTAGGGCATGATGGCCACGATGTCGATGGTGTTCATGATGTTCTTGAAGAAGCCCGGCTTGCTGGGGCACGCGCAGAAGCGCACGAGCAGCTCGAAGCTGAACCACACGATGCACACGGTCTCCACGATGAAGAACGGGTCTTTGCCGAACTCGGGGGTGGGCCTCCCGCGGCCGTGCGGCACAGCCACGTGCACGCCGGGCACGTGGCCGTAACCGTGGCCGAGCGCGCCGCCGCCACCGCCGCCGCCGCCGCCCGGGTGCGCGTGACCTCCGTGCGCGTGGCCGCTGCCGCCGCCGCTGCTGCCGCCGCTGCTGTTGCCAGCAGCGGCAACAGCGGCGTCGCCGGCACCGACGTCGTGGCGCGTGCCCGAGTGGAGGTCCTTGTCGTCGCGGAACTCGGGCAGGGTCTCGGCCACGAAGATCACGATGGAGATGACGATGACGAGCACGGACACGATGGCGATGACGCGCGCGGGGTTCGAGCTCTCCGGGTACTCGAAGAGGAGCCACACCTGGCGCTGGAGCGCGTTCTCGGGCAGCGGCTTCTCCTCCTCCTTCACGTAGCCCTCGTCCTCGCGGTAGCGCGCCATCGTCTCCTCGCCGAGCTCGTAGAAGCGCACCTCCTCGGCAAAGATGTCGTAGGGCACGTTGGTGGGCCTGCGCAGTTTGCCGCGCGATTGGTAGTAGTAGAGGATGGCGTCGAAGCTCGGTCGGTTGCGGTCGAAGAAGTACTCGTTGCGCAGCGGGTCGAAGTAGCGCATCCGCTTCTGGGGGTCGCCCAGCAGCGTGTCGGGGAAGTGCGCGAGCGTGCGCAGCTGCGTCTCGAAGCGCAGGCCGGAGACGTTCACCACCACGCGCTCGCAGAATTCGTGGCCGCTCAGCTCTGGCTCGCAGCGGAAGCCGTCGGCGTGTGGGGTCTGAGAGCCCTCACAGGCCACCTCGTCCCTGGCCGCTTCTCCGCTCACCGTCATTGCGGAGTCCCCACCACCACCACCACCACCCCCACCACCCCCTCCACCACCCCACACGAGGTGACGGTGGCTCGGGATGACGACGATAACGACGATGGCTCGATCGGTCGCGACGGTGGCGGTGAGATGGTCGTGGTGTTTGTTCGGGGGTGTGAGGGCTGCTGGATGGCCAGGAGAGTGAAATGGGGGGGGGGGAGTTGGGGGATGGGCGGGAAAAGGGGGGGGGCAGTGACTGTGAGTCAGCAAGCCCTTGTCTTCTGTTGATTTGTAGTTATTAATAACCTTAATGTTAATTTACGTCTCTTGAAAATTATGCGCGCGCGCACGTGTATGTGTCCGTGCTGTGGACGAACTTATGGCCCGGTAAGTTCGCGTTTGTCTATTTTGAGAATAATCGGGTGATAGTCAAGCACGCACGACTATCCCATTATTTCGACCGCATCACCGTTAATAAATAGCTACATGGAGATACGCTGTACGAGACACGTTCCTAATTACGATACTAGAAGCGTAGCAAGTGTTCCGTATCTCTCAACAATGATCTTTGTCACGTGAGTCATCGTTGCTTCATGGAGCGCGACCCTAGCGCAGGCTACGAGACCCAGCGCATCCCTACTATCTTGAATAGCAATCTTAAATAGCAATCGCTGTCCTAAATACCAATTGCACGAACCAGATGAGACTTAACGGTACGACCGTCTAATTTAAAATCTCGTTCGCTCGCGACAAAACGTAGCCGTTCAAATAATTAGTACAATTATTATAATTGTACTAAAATTATTATAATTGTACTAATTATTATGGTAATTGCAGGCGCACCGAGAGACCAGTCGAGTTCCGAAATCTCCCCTTGAACCTCTCCCGCCTGTCCCGTCACCACAACTGCAACGCCACTTTCAATAACTCTCACTCTTTATCTCGACCACTTTCAGCAGAATCTTCCTCTTGCTGTTGTCGAGAATCTTGATGTTAACGGGAGGAATCCGACTACCTGCGAAGCGTCCCCTTTCGCAGATTGCAAAATGTCCAATTGTATCATTTGACGTAAAGCGCCTCGGAATAGCGTGCCGTATTAATCTACGTGCGATCATTCAAGGGGGGGTGAATATACGCGCAGGCGATATCTTCAACACGGACATTAAACCGCGAGCTAACGGAACACGTTCCGCCGGCAGCCAGACCTGTATAACAACAGCGAACTTTTTCACGTGGCTTTCTTTTCTGTTTTACCTTGAGGACAGCTCTTACACGCGAGTGGCTTCAACGACGAGGAAGAGTGTTATTTCTCTCTCTCTCTGTCTGTCCCCACAGGCGTGCGGGCACGGACGTTGGGCGAACTTTAAACGGCGACGTTACCAGTTGCCTCCTCGATGAGCCTCGACGTCAAATCAGCCTTCAAATTCTTACGCGAACTGATTCGTCTTCTCACGAACGAGCTTGCAATCCACCCGACGGAGACAAACACGCCAACCGCCTGAGCCCCCCAACACTTTGCCCACGTCTGCTACGATGTAAAAATGGCCTACGATTGTAAAAAAAAAAAATTTGATCATAATTGTGATGCTGATGATGATTGCGATGTCACAACGATGGGGTGCGCGCTTCGTACGCGCGGTGCTGTGAGAGAGGAGCGATGGGACGCGTGCCGGCGTCGAGACTACTGCGTGAGTAGAGAGGGGGCAGCGCTGCGCTGTGGGTGGGTGGGTGTTTATATATAGAGAGAGAGAGGCCCGGCTATGCGTGGCTATGCTGATGCTGATGACCCGCTCGCTGTTCTCTCGAACGGGCGTCCGACATCCTCACGCCTGACAGCGAAACTGCTGTGTGACTCTCCCCAGCCGGACAATCCTCCCTCTTGACCCCACCAGCTACCAGTCAACCCCCACTATCCCTCCGCCCACTAACACCCCCTCCCCCCACCAACCAGCCACCGCACCCCACCCTCGCCTCGCCTCCCGCCACACTACAAAAAATATAAAGACAAAGATCTCGCGTATAGCCTGCACAGGCCGTCGGAGCAAGAGCGCTGTCAAGCGAACACCTATAGGCAAAAGGACAGCGGCTGCACACGAGTGGCTGGTGTGGCCAGCTGTAACGCCCGGCCGCCTTTGTCTCGCCGGTGATGATGTCTACACCCCGCACCGGGTAGTACTCGTTTGAGGATGAGTCGACATTGGGGTTGTCCCCCAGAGTTGTTTCAGATATTCGTCACCGATGTTGAGCGTGAGCGGGAATTGTCCGACTTAAATAGCCGGGGTTCGTATAGCAGTGCGCTAATAACTTACCCCCCCCCCCCCCCCCCCACGGCACACACGCGCACACCCCTGTACCTCCCTTGATTGACCTTACAAGCAAAGACGCCGCCACAACCACAACCCTCTTGACCCGAGCCACCTTCCCCCCAAGCCAGTCCCCCAACTTGACCCCCACTTTCTTAGATCAAGTTACCCCTCTCGTTTCGATCTCCGAATTCCCCAAAAGTCTCAGCTGGCCTTGATCCCACCACGCTGCTGAGCTTTATCCCATCGGCCCTCCACCGCTCGTTCTTCTCCACCACCAACTTCATCATCTCCCTTGACCCCACTGACTTCCTTCCCTACCCTCCCCTCCCTCCATCACTCACTCACTAACCCCACCACCCTGCTCTCGTGTTCTGCTGGAACTAGGGATGCCTCAATGTAACCCGGGTGGATAGAGGAGTGGGTAGGGGGTTAGAACTCGTGTCTGTCAAGGGTAGGAGGGGTTATTTTAAACCTTCATTCTTTGAACTCCCCCTGCTCGGTCGCAACCAATGTACCCACCCCTCTCCTCCCTCTCCTCTCCTCCCTCTCCTCCCTCCCTCCGTCTCCCTCCCTCCGTCTCCCCGCCTTCTGACTGGGGGTCACGCAGAGAGGACCTCTGTTCTTGACCGGCTCCTGTGTTGTTCTTGAAATGGAATAAGGGGGGGGGGGGGGGTTGGAGAGTGTGGAGTGTGCGGTGTGCATGGGGAGAGGGTAAGAGAGTGAGAGAGCGAGGGAGAGAAAGAGAGGGCTGCCTGTACGACGCACAGCGTTGTGTCTACCCGTGTCTGTTTGGATTATTGTAAAGACATCGGTCGTCCCGTCCCTGTGCAGGTTCGAAACGCGTTTAACGACGTTGACAGACACTTTGGCAATCCACTGCTGGATGAAGGCTTCCCCGCGCGCCGTGTAGGTCATGGGGATTGTTGCTTGTTTCACCATATTTCACCACGCTGGGTCTACTCAGTGCACCGGGAGATGTGTAACTGTACATAAACATATTGACTTAAAGCTTTCGTGACTGCAGGAATTCATATTCTTTGGGTCTTTCGGAAAAGTCACTTGGATAGTTTCAAATTCATAATTGTTTATTTTTTATTAATTTGAACCTATCTACGTGACTTTTCCGACAGACTAAAGAAAATACATAAACATACTGGGGGGCTGTGGGGGGGGGGTCTCTGCGACGTACGCACACAACTGCACGCCCCCTCGCAACTATCCTCCCACCCGAACCCGTTCAACCTTCACAGCGCGTCGATCCCACGAATTCGTCGGTGCCATTCGCTGTATTCGTTACGCGAGACATCCCCACGTTCTTACGCGCGTCGGGTCCCCTGAAGCCTTCAAGCCCCTGTAACAGAAGGCTCCACTTTCCGCCACTGTAGCGAGATGTGAACTACCTCGCCTGGTATGCAGGAGGGTCGTGGGTTCAATCCCGACCATGACGGCTGCTGTATATTTGGAGTGTGCGGTTTCTGTCTCTCTCCCCGTGGTCACGTGTATTTTTCTCCGGGTCCTTCAGGTTTTCCCGTCCACATTTAGAATGAACATCACGCGTTGAGAGTATTTTAATCGCTATAGATTTCCATATGATAGCCACTTCGTTGAGCTATCATGTGGCCAGGTCGCTTCTGAAAAAGAGATATATACCTAAGTGGGCCTTACCTGGTAGAATAAAAACATAAACTGTTTCGTTTAATAGTTTCTAATCATCCATACTATTTGTATTTTAGCAGGTAAGGCCCACTGAGCTACGTAGCTCTTTTTCAGAAGCTACCTGGTCACAAATGATAGCTCAACGAAAGTGTGCTTATCACGTGGACATTGATAGCAGCGCGTGATGTTGATTCGAACATGACAGCCTCCATCCTTGACAGCACCCCCTTGTGGCAGCATCCACCAAACCACTTGATTAAGCTTCACGCGTCATCAGGATCTTCCCTATAGCAAGTAGCTTGGTGGGGAGTGGGGGGGGGGGGGGCTCCCCCCTCTCCTCCCGGGGGGCTCTCCCCTTTCCAATTCCCTTCTCTGTGCCCCTCCGGCTTACGGGCCATAGTACAATTTCACCGCCTGCACACACGTGAGCTACGCTGCTGCACCACACACGTAACCCTCACTTGTAAATTCGTAGTGTGCTGATCTTTTGCAGGTGTATTGAAAAATTTTGCTACTGCTACTGATGCTCCTGTTGTTATGGAGTGACTCATGCAGGCAGCTATGGCTGCAAAGTTTGGTCGTACATGTTATGTATATATCGTTTATTGTTAAATTTGAATCACAGTTCCTATGATCACTGTTACATTGTTTTTATAGCTTTATTTTGGTAATTTTGCAAACGTTTTGGTTTAGCCATGTTTGTTTGTTGTAGTACAGAGTTAGCCCGATAACTTTAATCTAAATTGTCTTATGGTTGTTATTATTTGACTTGCATCCCACTGGGATTTTTGCACACAGCGTTGAAATACGGTTGTTTTGTCTTGAAGACTTTGCTGTTTTTTCCTGGGTTTTTCTGTTGTGTGTCGTCACTTTAAGATGTTTCTTGTTCATGTTTTTGTTTGTTGCGGTTGCACCCGAGTCAAGAGCCGCATGGCTCACAGGGCTACACCTAATAAATGAAACTGAAAAAACTGAAGTTCGTATGTCTGTCGCCGTCCGTGGCGCGTTGCCACTCGTTACCATTGCATTTGAAAGCAGAGGGTGGGAGCGGAGGACGAGGGTGGAGGATGATGAACACATAGGCAGTGAGTTTGACCGTGCGTCGATTACACGGTTCGCATAAGCTCGCAAGGTACGTCGTGATGGAAGCCACCCGTGTAAGATTGTACGCATTTTCTGTGAATGCAAATGTTGACTACATTTAGGTATAATAGAGCGAAGACATTTACC